GGGATCTGGTACCTGATGCTGGAAGAATGAAGCATGACTTTGTGGCCTGGGGTTGGGGTCAAGGTCAACTCTGGTTGGACATTTTCTTCCACAGTGGTCTGAGCAGGAGCCAAGGGCAGCCACACCATGGTGGTCAGTGAGAAGTGTTAGTATCTCTGAGAGGACTTGGCCAGGGGCTGAGGTGCATGCTGAGCGTCTCTGCCGCCCACCACTGCTGCCCATAGCTGCTGCCCACCTCTGCTCTCCGGTTCCCCATAAAGACTCTGGCTCCCTTTCTTTCTAGAGTCTGGCCCTCTTCCTAGCCAGCATCTGATAAGACCGGAAACAATAGCTTCTTATCAAGTACTAGGTCTTTACATTGTTACTCTCATATCCTACAACAACACTAAAAGTAGAAATTATTCCCTAATTGTACAAAGAGAGGAGCAACTTGAAAGGGTTTTTCAAACTGGCTGCCTCTCCCACGGTGTGCAAGTAGGAAATTCTGAGAAGCCTGGCTCCCCTCTTCAATACCTTACAGAGCAGCCATTTCCCTTCCTTTAGGATCCCAGGAGATGGGTTCCATCCCCAGCACCACAAATAAATGGAAAAATCTTGGGAGAGGTAGGTAGCACAGCAGGTGTCGCTCAACCCCATCCAGAGCAGGACCTGGAAATGCCCCAGGCCTGAGGCCAGGAGCCCCTACCTCCCTGAGAATAGGCTGGAGCTGGAGGGCCACTCTCCTTGGCCTTTCTGGTGAGCCTTGTCCCCCATAGCCCTGCATGTAGCTTTGTGCCTGTGCTTCCTGCTAATCATACCCCTGCCCCTTCTGGCAGATTCCCCACCCAGCAGCTGGGCCCCTTTTTTAGGGAACTGTCAGCAGAAGACAGGGGTCTGTGGACACAGCCCCTAGCCAGTCCCCCCCCCCGTGACAGAAGGTGGCCCCACCGCCCACTGTGGGTTTGCTGTCGCTGTCTGGAGGCCCTGCTGAGGAGGCATCTGTCTCATCCTCAGTGTGCGAGGGCCCTGCTCATTGCCTCATCAGCCTTCATCCTTGTACAAGGCCTTCTTATGCTTTTATTTCAGGTCCTGGCAGTCCTGTAAGGAGGAATTCCTCCATTAGGTCATGCAAAGCCGGGAAGGGGAGAGGGTTTTGCAAATTTTGATGAATTAGAACATGTGATGCATTACAAAGGAAACTGAACTTTTTAAAAAGCAAAGAGCTAACAGAAAAGAAACTTTCCCAGAGTCTGGACATATATACCTGACAGTCAACTGGAAGGAATGGCATAGATTTGACAAATAATACGGCAATTAAGAGTATGGAATTGGGGCTGGGGTGATGGCTCAGTGGAATAAGCACTTCCCTGGCAAGCGCAAGGGCCTGAGTTCAATCCCCGGTTCTGCCAAAAAAATCATTCACAATAAGAGTATGGAATTTAGCCTGGCATGATGGTGCCCACCTGTAACCCCGCATTCTGGGAGGCTAAGGCAGGAGGATTTCACACTCAAGTTCCAGCCTGGGCAACTTAGTGACTTAGCTAGAATTTGTCTCAATAAGCAAACAATTTTTTAAAAAGGGACTGGGTAGGCAACTCAATGCAAAGGCCCTCGGTTCAATTCCTAGTTAATACACACACACACACACACACACACACACACACACACACCCCAAGTGATTTGATGATAAACAGCCTGAGTTTGACTCCTACCTTGGCCCTCTTACCAGCTGTGTGGATTTATGCAAGTTACTTAAGCCTCCCTGTGCCATACTTTCAAAATGAGGATGATACTTTTCTCAATTGTTAAGAGGTTAAGTATATGCCAAACTCTTGGAACAGGGTTTGGTGTACACGTAAGATTCTATATGTGGTAAATATTAAAATGACATTCAGGTCCCTCCAACACATAAAAATGCCCTTTCATAGAACTTTTAGAGCATACAAAGCACTTTCGCATATCTCTGAGCTTATTTTATGCCCCTTAGAGATGCATCCATTGACGGGGAGACAGTGTGAGCTTTGTGCTAGGTCTGGCGGGGGCTCCCTCCTGTTTGTGAGAGCAACTGCTCAGAGGCTAGCATGCCACCCTCTGGAGGAGAGCTCTTTCTCAGGCTTCCCCTTGGACACAATTCCAGCTTTTGTGCAGCTTAGTGCCTGGCTGGGATACACAGTAGTTAGGAGGCTGTCACCCCTGCTGGAATGGGAATGATAGTGCACCAACTTTCTGGGTCAGGCTGCAGACCCTCAGGGATCAGTGCTGAGGTCTCAAGGATGAGCAGGTGTCACTGAGGCAGAGGGTTTAGGAAGTTTCTAGAGAAAACAGCGCACCAGGGCTCAGAGGAAAAGCAGCTACGTCTGGCCGAGACAGCAGGAGTGTTGGGGTGAGCAGAGGGGGCTGTTGGTGGCTAGGCAAAGGTTTGCAGGAGATGTATAGGACTCTCGGGTGCTACTACTAGGGTTTTGAACAAGGGAATCAATTCTTCCTTTTTCAAAGATCAGAAACAGGCAAGAGGTCCAGCTCAGAGGTGACTGCAATGGATGAGACATGAGGTTTTGGGGGATCATAGTAGGGAGGGGCTGTGGGAAGAAGGGAAGGGGCATAAGCAGGTGTGGCACCTGGGAGGCTACAGGGTGTGGAGGAAGGCAATGCTCAGACTTCCAGGTGAAGTGCAATGGGCTTCCCCAAGATCAGTGTCAGCAGAGGAGAAGCCTATGGGGAAGGATGCCACATAGCCTTTGGACAAGGTGATATAGGTGTCAGTAGACATGGATATACAGCTGTCCAGGATAAAGAGGGCCCAGAGTCTAGGGTTAGATCTGGATTAGAAATGTGCACTGGGAAATTATCAGTCCACAGATATTAGCAGAAAGTGAGAGCAGATATAATCACCCAGGAAGAGGTAGTGAGTGAAGAGGAAGGGTCAAGGGACAGAAGCTTCCTGAGAGCAAGGAGGGATGAGAGTGAGCACAAGGAAGCAGCAAGCTGGAGCAATTGAGATGTGGTGGGAAACCTAGGAGCCTTGAGACTTGGTGGGGTTGTGGGGGTAAATTATATCTAATACTGCTAGAAGTCAAGGAAGATAGGAATCTGAAAGGACCCACTGGATTAACAACAAGGTTGTTAGTGAGACGTGCAGGAAGAAGGGTGAGAATGAGAGGTGGACCTAGAGGCAGAAATGTAGGCAAGGAGGCAACCTGAGTAAGCCTGGTCCTTGCTTAAGAGAAGATAAATGATAGGTGCATGGACAGGTGGGTGGGAGG